ATGTGTTGTTGGATTCTATTTGGTAATATTTTGGTGGGGATTTTGGCATCTATGTTCATCAGAGTTTCACATTCTTTTTCCTCATATTACAGGGGAAAACCTACATGTATATTGGAAAAGCAAAGTAGTTTTTCTTTTGAGTGATTTCTAAGCTAAGTTCATTGATTGGGATTACTTTTGGCTACATGTAGCCAAAGGTACATAGCTACACATAGCTAATAGTAGGTAGCTTAAGCACATATGGGCTTACTTTTTTTTAATGTTTATTTTGAATTTTAGAATTGCAGAAAAGTTACAAAAATAATACAGAGGGTTTCCATATGTTTCCCACCCTGCTTTCTGTAATACTATCTTATATGACAATGATGAGAATCAGGAAATTAACATTGGTGTTAAACTCTTAACTAAACTACAGACCTTCACACTTCACCAATTTTTTCCACTAATGTCTATTCTTCTGTTTTAGGATTCTCTCTAGGCTGCTACACTGCATTAGAGTCTTTTCTGTTTCAGGATTCTGTCTAGGATCCTACACTGCATTAGAGTCTCTTCTCCCTTAGTCTACTGCAGTCTGTGATAGATCCTCAGTCTTTCTTTGTATTTTATAATCTTGATATTTTGGAGATTACTGATCAGTTATTTTGGAATGCCCCTCAATTTGAATTTGTCTAGTGTTTTCTCATAATTCAAAAGAGATTATGCGATTTTTTGATAAGAACACCACAGAAATGATGTTGTATTAGGAGTTCTTGATGTAAGTACATATATCTTATTGCTGGTGATGTTAAACTTCATCACTTGATTAAGGTCATATCTGCTGATTTTCTCCATTGTAAAGTTACTAGTTTCCATTTGTAGTTAATAAATATTTAGGAAAAGATAATTTGAGACTCTGTAAGTCCTGTTCCTCCTCACACTTTCATTCAATGATATTACCAGTCATCAGAGGAACCAGACTGCAACAGTTATTACCATGGTGTTCATTTAATTGTGATTTTCTGTTTCACTCTTTCCTGTTACATTTATTGTCTGGGAGTCTGTCATAAAAGAACTGTATATTTTCTGCAATTTATTTATTCAATTATATAGATATGGACTCATGGGTATTTTATTTTATTGGTTAAAATCCAACACTTGTATTTATTTATGTATTTATTTATTTATTTATTCTAGTACACACACAAAGAAGTTTCAGAATTGTTAATCCAGACCCCTGTGAAAAATACATTTACTACAGCATTTATGTGCAGTTCCGTTTGACTTTAGCAATACAGTATCCAATCAACATACTCTTTCCCAATTATGTAGGCTAGTTCTTTTCTTCCTTTCCCCTTTTAGTGCAGTTGTTATCCAATTGTTACATAGTTAGGTTCCTTTGTTAGTGTAGTATTCAATTTTTGGTTCCCCCATCCTGTTTGGTTTTGTTTATTTATTCAGGGAAAGGGGGCTATGTGAAAACATGTCAAACATTGCTATGGTTCTAAGAGTCATAGCTATACAAAAAAATTATTCTCAGAAAACTATTACTTCCTCCTTTTTCTTCCTGCTACCACGATCCTGTTCCCCTCTTTTTTCTACTCCTTTTTTATCCACCCCTTACAGGTCTCTTTAGTTTATGGTTTATCCTTCTTGTATTTCTTTTACACAAATGAACAGGTCCCTATGTGTTTTCTTTCTCTTTTTTTTAACGTTTTTTATTAAATGATAGTCATTTTACAATGTTGTGTCAAATTCCAGTGTAGAGCACCATTTTTCAGCTATACATGAACATACATATATTCATTGTCACATTTTTTTTTGCTGTGAGCTACCACAAGATCTTACATATATTTCCCTGTGCTATACAGTATAATCTTGTTTATCTATTCTGCCTATGCCTGTCAGTATCTACAAATTTTGAAATCCCAGTCTGTCACTTCCCACCCCCCGCCCCCTTGGCAACCACAAGTTTGTATTCTATGTCTATGAGTCTGTGAGTCTGTTTCTTTTTGTATTTGTTTTTTTTTTAGATTCCACATATGAGCGATCTGATATGGTATTTTTCTTTCTCTTTCTGGCTTACTTCTCTTAGAATGATGTTCTCCAAGGACACCCATGTTGCTGCAAATGGCATTATGTTGTCGGTTTTTATGGCTGAATAGTATTCCATTGTATAAATATACCACATCTTCTTTATCCAGTCATCTGTCAATGGACATTTAGGCTGTTTCCATGTCTTGGCTATTGTAAATAGTGCTGCTGTGAACATTGGGGTGCAGGTGTCTTTTTGAAGTAGGGTTCCTTCTGGATATATGCCCAGGAGTGGGATTACTGGGTCATATGGTAAGTCTGTTCCTAGTCTTTTGAGGAATCTCCATACTGTTTTCCACGGTGGCTGCACCAAACTGCATTCCCACCAGCAGTGTAGGAGGATTCCCTTTTCTCCACACCCTCTCCATTATTTATTGTTTGCGGACTTTTAAATGATGGCCATTCTGACTGGTGTGAGGTAATGCCTCTTTGTAGTTTTGATTTGTATTTCTCTGATAATTAGCAATATTGAACATTTTTTCATGTGCCTATTGGCCATTTGTATATCTTCCTTGGAGAATTGCTTGTTTAGGTCTTCTGCCCATTTTTGGATTGGGTTGTTTGAATTTTTTAAATTAAGTTGTATGAGCTGTTTATATATTCTAGAAATTAAGCCCTTATCAGTCTCTTCTTTTGCAAATAGTTTCTCCCATTCTGTAGGTGGTCTTTTTGTTTTGCTTATGCTTTCTGTTGCTGGGCAAAAGCTTAGAAGTTTAATTAGGTCCCATTTGTTTATTTTTGCTTTTATCTCTTTGCCTGGGTAGACTGCCCTAGTATTCCTAGGAATCTTTTGACATGATTTTTAAACAGGGTTGTATTTTT